TATATATTATTTTGCCATCACAATTGTAAAATCTACAATCTCCACAGGACTGTCAACAGCAATCCACTTACTTGTTTTTAGTAGTCTGCCCCTCCTGGTGCTGGCAGATTCAGTATTTGGTGAGGGCCTGCTTCAAAAGAGTGGACAATGATAGCCAAATTCCCATCACTCTCTCTTTTGCAGCTTTGAGGGCCAACAGAAGGGCATGATTGGAAACATTATCAAAACCATCTTATAATGTAAAGTCTAAAAAGAGGGCCTAGTTTATTTAGTCAAATGTCTAATATGTTATTACTCCTGAGAAAAATATTCTAAATAGGGGTCTAATAAGAACACCCACATACTATTCAGCAAGCAGACATGCAATTTAATTGTCTTTACTTTAAATGTGGAATTAAGCCACAAATTAGGTATCAAGGATTTAAAACTAAACAAGTTGAGAAAATTTAATGCATATATAATTATCATCCTTATATCCTGTATTTCATTACCAGGACATATAAATACAAACAATGATGGCATGTGGGTAAATAAAAGTTATAGCCTATATTCATCTCCTAACTGTTCTGTTCTGTTGACTGTGATGTGAATGTTCCATATTAGAAAGGAACTCCTTTCACTGGGACAAAGTGCTTTGGGCATCCTCAGTCAGAATGTTCACAGTGTGTCTGTCCACAGCCACCATCTACAGACTTAAAAGGGCTTCACTTTAGGGTGCAACCTTGGACCAAACCTTTACTCTTCTACACCCAATAGCTTCACCAGACCTAAGCCCTAAGACTGAGAAAGTGACATACTAGTAGAAGAGATAAAGTCCTTTCTTAACAATGAGGAAAGTGTTAGAGGCTGAATGTTTGTACCCCACCCCCCAAATTCATATATTGAAACCCAATCCTCAATGAGAGAGTATTTGGAGGTGGGGCCTTTGGGGTTGATAGATCATGAAGATAGAATCCTCATGAATGGGATTATATAAAGGAGGCTTCGGAGAACACCCTGACCCATCCACCATCTGAGGACACAACAAGAAGGCACTGTATGAACCAGGAAGTGGGCCCTCACCAGACACTGAATCTGCTGGCACATTGATCTTGAACTTCCCAGCCCCCTAAGCTATAAGATGTACATGTCTGTTCTTTATAAGCCATCAGGTACTTTGTTAGAAAAGGCGGAACTAACTAAGACAAAAGTCTACAGGTTAAGTCTGTGAATTGTCAGGACTGGTTAATTTTTCTCTCTTTAATTTACCTATGTAACTGAAAAGCCCTTAAGTTCCTTGAATTATCATGAGTCATTATAGAACTCGTATGCTCCTACTTAGTATCTTGGGAAATTCCTGGAGCAGAAACAGTCTCTACACATTTCTGATGTCAGGCAGACACCTCCATAGGGTCCTGGCTAGTTAAATATAACCACCCGTGTCAGGCTGGACCCCCATCTCCTTTTTATCCCCCAATAACCCAACAATAGGGCAAGAAACATCTTCACCCCACATAGCTATCAAAGTCTGTTCCACAAGGCAAATACTCTCTGGAACCTATAAACAAGTACATATGGGTACTCTTGAGATTCCTTCCAATAGCCTCCTTCCCTGCTTTGCAGGCATACTTAATTCCTAACACACAGGTAAGTTCAAGAGCGAAAAATTCAATATGAAAGCTTTTAAATCAATTCTTTCTGTTTCTAACAATTAACATAGGATAAAGCATTTCATTATGTCTGCTTATAATGTAAGTGAAAAAGCAGACACACAATGGCATAAAGTTATAGGTGATTCACCCTACACACGTTTTCAATATTTACCAAATTTATATGATGAACACAAAATCCTATCTAATAAAGAGGGAATATGCTAATTGACCCTCGCACCGTCGCAAAGATGGCAGCACAAAGCCAATAAGAAGGGAATATGCTAATTGCCTGCAAAGCCCTCAAAGATGACGGCGCCCACAGACAACAAGGAGGGAATATGCTAACTGACTGCCACACCTTCAAAGATGGCAGCGCCCACAGCCAATAAGAAGGGAATATGCTAATTGACTGCCATGCCCTCAAAGATGGCGGTGCCCAGTCCCCTCAGCCCCACCAGGGCCGGCTGGAGGCACAGGTAACCAGGGCCGGCCAAGGCTTGCGCTGCCGGCAGTGGCAGCAGCAGAGGTGTGATGGGAGCATCGCCTTCCCCTGACTGCCGGGTTGCTTCCCACCCCTGAGGGCTCCCGGACTATGAGAGGGGGCAGGTAGGGCTGAGGGACACCCACCCCCCGTGCACGAATTTCGTGCACCGGGCCTCTAGTGTCATAATAAAAACAAATGTTATTTTAAAGCTAAATTTTACACTAATAAAAAAAAAATTACAGTATTTTTCTAAGACAATATAGATAAACCTGAAATTTCACTTACTTTCTGCTCAGGGCTTTCCTGAAACGAAAGTCCAAAGTAGTCCTTCTCCAAGAGGTTGAGATGTTCACACACTTTGTCAAATAATACTTGTCCCTTGGCACGTTTCTGAGGAAAAAGAAATAGTATCTTTACTTTTCAAGCAACAAGATTCCATGAGTACTATAAATAAAGGGCATCATGTTAAATAACGTTATTTAGCTTAAATTAGTATATTTGTTTTCTGACCTTTTATAACAATACAAAGCATAAATTCTAAAATGAATGCATGATCAGACAGAAGCTGTGTTTTACTGCTGCTCTATATAAATGTAAAAGGACTAAAAAGTAAAGTGCTAAGAGTTCATTTATTTTTAAAATGTATAAAAATATGCCCAAACTGATTCCCTCAGTTCCTCAACATGGCTCATGTCATATCTACAAGGTATACTTCCCTCCAGGAAAATCATTAGCGTTACTACTCTATGTATCCTAACACAATTTATCCTATCAGATGGGCTGGGCTGTAGGTATGATTTCTGTTCTGTGATATTTGCAGAATAGAAATTTTTTCTCATTATAAGATATGCTCTTTCTCAAGAATGATACAGCATTCACTCTTTAGAGCAAAGTTTTAAAATATTATGTAATGAAACCAGGACAATGAACCAGCTGCCCCTATGGATTTAACATATTTTTGTCTTGGTTTGTGTTTTGTTTTTTAATTTAAGAAGCTGCTATCAACAGAGATGTAAAGGCCTTTGACAGCCACAGAAGAAAAGCTCATTGTCTAATCAATGGCAAAACATAAAGTGGTGACTCATTTCCAATTAAGATGCACACCCCTGGGAATGCCCAACTGCTAGGTCAGGTCACAGGC